TTTCAAGAATCCATAGAAAATGTATTGCCTTTACTTTAAATGTTGTTAAAAATAAAGGCAACAGTAGTATACCGGAAGGTACCAAGAATTTGTTGATAAATATTCCGTATCAACTTCACAAATAATACACGATGGTCTTGAAGTATAGATTTTGCGTACTGAAGTTGTTTATCATTTTAATAACGTGTTATAGTATTCTTTTATTTATCTTTATTAATATTACTTTTACTGTTAAGTCTGTTTTTTTTAGATATCCATTTGACGTGACTCTATGCTTATATATCCCGTCATACTTTGAACGACAAAATTATTTTATTTATTAATATTACTTTTACTGTTAAGTCTGTTTTTTGTGATATACATTTGACATGACTCTGTACTAATGTATCTCGTCATACTTTGAACCACACAATTATTTTATTTATTAATATTACTTTTACTGTTAAGTCTGTTTTTTTGTTATATCCATTTTACGTGACTCTGTATTTATGTATCCCGTCATACTTTGAACGACAAAATTATTTTATGTCTACCTGTGCGAATTTCAAACGCGCGATTTTACGCCAATAATTAAAACCTTCCATCCTTTATGGGTGGATTTTACATAGATAAATAATATCGTATAATATAAGCAAAATGAGGATGTTAAATTTGATGTATGCCTTTTTATGCTTCTTCGTTACATTTGTTTGTTTTTATAGTGATTAAGATGATAACACAATGTTGACTGCTGTACCCCTATTTTTGACATTTTTACCTGTTGTGTCTGTTTGTATTGTCACGCATCAGTGTCAATATAATGGAATTTGATGCGACTGTCATACAAGTGAGAGGTTTAGCTAGCTGTAAAACCAGGTTCAATCCACCATTTTCTACAAAAGAAAATGCCAGTACCAGGTCAGGAACATGACAGTTGTTATCCATTCGTTTGATGTGTTTGAGCTTTTGATTTTGCCATTTGATTATGACTTATATTTAGAAATTGACTATGAAGGTCGGTTGAAAACAAAACTTTACGACAAAAGAGATGATTTCAGCTTCCCAATTGTGAATTTTCATTTTTAAACCAAGAGTTCCAAATGGTGAAGTTGAAATCATCACTTTGTAAATTTTACGGACGCCATCACGAGTTGGTTGACCGTTATGGAATATCCGTTTCACAGATGATATCGGATATGTTCCTTATGTCGTAACTACAATCCCGTTCCCTTTTCACGAATGTGACCTACCGAATTAGACTATTTACCCCTATTTGTGACATTTTTACCTATTGTTTTTTGTTTGTTTTGTTCACACATCGTTGTCAATATAATGGAATTTGACGCGACTGTCATAGAAGTGAGAGCTTTTGCTAGCTTTAAAACCAGGTTCAATCCACCATTTTCTACATAAGAAAATGCCTGTACCAAGTCAGGAATATGACAGTTGTTATCCATTCGTTTAATGTGTTTGAACTTTTTATTTTGCTATTTGATTGGGGACTTTCCTTTTTGAATTTTCCTCGGAGTTCAGTATTTTTGTGATTTTACTTGATACCGGTGTTCAAAAGTCATAAATCGATTGAGAGAAAACAAATCCGGGTTACAAACTCAAACCGAGGGAAACACATCAACTATAAGAGGAAAACAAAGGAATATCAGGAACAGTGCAACAAAAACAAACGCCAACATGCATAGAAACGAACTATTTGATAACACTTGCCATATTCCTGACTTGGTACAGGACATTTTAAAATAAAAAAAAATGGTGGGTTGAACCTGGTTTAATGGCTAGCCAAACCTCCCACTTTATGACAATGTTAAAACATATATCTCTAAAATGACAACACTACGTAACAGAAACACAGCACATACACACGCAAGAACATTGATCACAGAGAAATGCACAAAAAAAATAATATAATAGTCGACACAACATGCAAGCCGCAAAACAACAACGAACATATTCCATCAACGACAAACACCACAGGATACCAAAAACTAAAATGCAATCTCGAAATTTCTACAATTATTTTCACAATACTCGTCCAAACAATTTTCATGACAATGATGTTATGGAAAGGCAATTTTAGAATTATTTGGACTACAAACGATAAGACATAACAGATTAAAAGTCACGTCAGTTCTTGTCGATCCTTCTTAAGTATCTGACCCCTAGTATCCTGTGATGTCTATGATTCCCATGTTAATCAAACACGTCGTATGTATAGGAATCATGATGAAACTAGCATATTTGTATAGAATCTTACCAAATAAAATAATATGAATACTTAATTTTGGTGAAATTGGGCTGTTCTTTCTGCTATTTGGTCGGGTTGGTGTCTTGTTGACACATGCCCCGTTTCCGTTCTATATTATATCATATACAAAAGAATATGATTATACCGTAATGCATATCAATCAATTTCGGATCCGCCACAGGGTACCGTTAGGAATGGGACTTGTAAAAAGTCCATGAATTAACCACAGATGTAGCTCCCTAAAGGGGACCTAAAAATGCATCATTAGGATTTTGAAAACTGTAACTATTGAAAATTGATCTAGGATTAAACATTTTTCCATTTGTTAATTAAAATTTGCAGTAATCAATTAATGTTAGAAATTTATTTATAAAATGGAAATCTTTAGACACCTCCCTGTAAGGAATGCTTTAAAGTCTCAATGAAATACCCATTTTGTGCATACATACACTTCTTCGATGTACATGCATCTGTATGTTTGTGATAATGCATAATAAAATATTTATATGAAAACGTCTATTTTAAGTTTTCTTTTGATAAAAATATTTCACTTGATTTCAAAAGGGGAGGCAACTCCAATGATTAAAGTAGTAAGAAAATTAGATTAGTCATCTCTTTTTATTTTTCATCATTTTACAAACAAAAAAAAACAATGAAATCTACCTCCACAAATATCATATCAAAATTCTATCACTGAGGTTTCTTTTATTTTTGACATATTCAATCCCAACCCTCTACTTAAAACTTAGAAAGTAGTATAATTTTGCACAACCTCTAGCTTAAAACAAGGTTGTTGACATATATTTTCATGACTTTCTTTTAAACCGCATGGTCAAATGAAATATGATTTGCTTTGCCCAATTATTGTTACATGTGTTTTAAAATAGCCATCTCTTTATTATTCTTTATTTTCATATATATATGTAATAGATTGCTTATTACTTTTATTCTATATGTAAGTATAAATTAATATGAACATTGTTTCCATTTGCTGCTAATTCGAATTTCAATGTTGTGTACACATGGGTCATTTTACTAGGTGTTATAACATACAATTAACTTGTCTTGCTGTATTATTTAGCCAAATACAAACTGTGATATATATTGAATGTGATTGTAGATGTTTAATTTGTTTGGTGTCTGTCATATTGATTGTAGAATTATGGGATACTTTATTAGATGTCTGCCATATTGACTGTGGACACCTGGTATATTCTGACTGTGATATATAATGTGTGGCTGTAGAAGATACTTGTTTGTTAATGTTGTTTACTTTATAATTTGTATTTCAGTACAATAAATTGTTAAAACAATTATTATCTTGGTTCTTTTTGAAAAATGTAGTGTCATGCAAAGATTAAAAAACTAGTAGCAAAAAAACGAACTCAAAGTAAAAAGGGAAGTCCACACAACATGACAAAACCAAATACTCGACTATATTCACCACACAATGTTAGGTTAAACACTTTCTTGCGTTCACATAAAATAACACTTTCTAAAATTGTAGTCTATGACCCTGTTTATTAAGTGATTCCTTCGAAATGTGCTACAATATAATTTTAATCTTGTTGGTTTCATGATGACTAGGCTGCTTTAAGTGCATGATGTTGTGGCCAGGATAAATAAAGGGCTGAACAGTTATATATTGTTTCTCTGTCAAGTATGTGGCCTTTAGGGAAAAGGCAAAGATTGGTCAGCTCAGTGTGAAGGATTGGGATAGATGTCTCTGTTGACTGCTGTCTTTTGAGCTATACAATGCTAAACTTGACTGGGTGTTTCTATTGTATATTCCTATGAGTTCGTCAACATGTTTTCGTTCTATAAATGCATGTAAATAAATATTTGGCACTTGACATTAAGTGATCGTAATGGCCAAACAATATACATGTATCCTGCCTCCTGGAAGAAAAAACATATCCTGGCATTCACAATTTGTATACTGATATTAAGGAACATTTTGTATACTATATAGGGAAATGTTATGAACTTGAATGGTACTTGGCTAAAATCTATTGATTTAAGCGCTGCTTCACCCAAAATGAGTCGAATTTAACGGTATTTAATCATAAGAGTCCATTAAGTATGTTGCTGTAGATATGGAGGCAGTAAACGGAGTATAAATTTTTTGGCAGACATCAATCACATACTACATATAAAACATGCATTAAAAATGGAAATTGAAATGAAAGGATTATCTTAAAAGAGAGGCGAAAGATATCAAATTTGAGTCCCATTCAAACTCATAAGTCGAAAAAAAAAACTGAAGACACCATGGCTAAAAAAAAAACCAACAGACAAACAATAGTACACAAAACACAGCAGAGAAAACTAAAGACTGAGCAACACGAACCACACCAAAAACTGGGGGTGATTTAAGGTGCTCCGGAAGAGTAAGAAGATCCTACTCCACATGTGGCACCCAATCAGTTTGAATTCGTAACAACAAACATAACTTTGAAAACGGAATAGGTATCTGTCAATACAATGGCACTGTCCAATGACAAATGTACATAATTTAGCATAAAACTGATCAATGTCCAAAAAATTTCAAATTGTAAACGGTTAAGTATGATCAACTACTTATGATGACAAACAATCCTACCAAATATTGAATCTTTCTGCATAAGATTTACACGATGAAAATTTTCTGTGTAATATTAATCCTGGTCCAAAAAAACGAAAATTTAAACTGGTAATGTATTTGATCTGTGTGTGTGCACTATTATTTATCTGAGAATTTTGATAAGGAAGATTTTAGATAAGGGTTAACTCTTAAAGTATAATATATTCATATCAAGTAAATGTTATTTTACGAACACATGCAAAGTAACTAGAAGGTTATTCAACAGAAAAAAAGAAGGAATATATTTTAAATTCTTAGATTTTTTTTTTATTTCCTTATTTAGTGTTGCTCTTTTCACTACATGAAATTCCATAGTCGTAGTTTCAGTTTAGATTTTTCATCCCTTGTCGTATAATTTCCTTGTATCAAGTTACTATATAAATCAGTCATTACTTTTCAATACTTTCAATCAAGAGTACAATTATATTGAAATAGTGTCGGGAGTTTAATGTCAACGAAAAGCTAAAATCAACTACAATGTAAAATAACAATTTAAAGGTAAGAAGTTTCCTTTAACTTCAATTTAATTGTTGGTGCGGCACAAATATTCGACAGATGTTTTTGGTAAAAAAATTCTTTATAAATTTACCTTCAGTTAAAACAAAAGGCTTGCTCTGTAATAATGTGTCTCTCACCTTGATCAATGTCAACAATGACACTTTCATACCCGATCAACAAAAGTCAATCCTGCAAGGTTTAGATCACTCACCTGCGTTTACAGCACCATCAGCTGGCGATAGATAGTAAATTTGATTTCCCTCCCTTTGCACAGAAGCTAAAGTTGAAATATTGGTTTGCTAAAAATAAACATTCCCGTTTTATTATAGACAAGACACTTCCACAACCATTGTTAATAACACTTACATCCACAAATGTATTTTTCACAAAAAAAATCTAATATACCTTTTTCTTCTCGTTTTAAAACAACATAATTTAAATTGTTTTGTCAGGCTTTATTTGAATAAATATTTTCAAATTGTTAGTATTTTTCATTGGCCTTATAGTATCTCTTTTAGATTTAAATATGTAAACTAAAACCTAAATTTCGTTCCAAGTCTTTTAATATATAAACAAGACAAATAATGGTGATTGTTGTCCTGCCATATGCATAACCCCGCCTCTGGCCTTTGTTAGTCTTGTATCATTTTTAATTTTAGTTTCCTGTGTATAATTTGGAGTTTAGTATGACGTCCATTATCACTGAACTAGTATACATATTTGTTTAGGGGCCAGCTGAAGGACGCCTCCGGGTGCGGGAGTTTCTCGCTGCATTGAAGACCAATTGGTGGCCTTCGGCTGTTGTCTGCTCTATGGTCGGGTCGTTGTCTCTTTGACACATTCCCCATTTCCATTCTCAATTTTATGAATGAAGGTTTGGATGGGATGTTTATATAATAGAGAATAATGGACAAAGACTACAGAATGGACAAAAAAAGAATATAGAATAATAGGATAAAAATATAGAATAATGGCGGCTAAAATTAAAGAATAGAGAATAATGGGAGACTAAAATTTAAAGAACAGAAATACCTGGGGTGCTACAATACGAGTGATTGGTGTTTGCTATACGCAGCATCAGCCGAAAAAAGGTTATATCGCAGCGATTATAGCATACATAGAATATAGACTAATGGATAAAATGAAAAGAAAAAAAGGACCTAAAGAAATTTAAAAATAAAATAAAATGTAAAATAACAAAAATACCGATTCAAAACGGAAAGTTCGTAATCAAATGGCAAAATCAAACGAATGGAAAACAACTGTCATATTCCTGACTTGGTACTGGCATTTTCTTATGTAGAAAATAGTGAATTAAACCTCGTTTTATAGCTAGCTAAAAACTCTCACTTGTATGACAGTCGCATTAAATTCCATTATATTGACAACGATGTGTGAACAAAATAAACAGACATAATAGGTAAAAATTTCAGATTGATTGGTTGATTGATGGCGTTTAATGCCACTCTAGTTTCTATTGTTGAGGAAACCGGAGTGCCTTGAGAAAACATAGACCTTAGGCAGGTAAACTGGCAATCCTAGTCAATGAAGATTTAAGTAGAACGCACCTCCACTCGAACTCACAACCTCAGCGTTGAAAGGCTAGTGATAACTGTCAATGAATTACTTAGACCACTCGACCACAGAAGCTCTTACAAATTTAGAGAAACCCCCCACCAAACTCTCATGAATACAGATACTATAGAGATGGCCGTTGTGTCTAAGACGCGTTTGTTTCCCCCTGTCATTAGTTATAATAAATTCAATAATACAGGTCATTTAAATGTAACAACAGTTTTGTTCTTGTTCCTCACATACTCTATAGCGCGAGTTAAAAAGTTTACAGGGGGTATAAAATGTAAATGTAATAACCCAAAAAAACAAGGGCAATATCGCCAGTTAAGAATTGTTCTTGCGACTGCAAGTAGAACTGATGTAATAACTTGAATTTATTAGAGGAATACTCATCATACATGCATATAATTATACATAATGATTGAAGTTCATCATGAATTCGTTTTTACATATATTCTAAATTTAATAACAAACAATGAGAACTTGATAGTAGATTTTTATAAGAAGTGGTACGATTTTCCCTTTCCTTTTGTTAATTTTCCTTTACAGTGTTTCACAAGCTCACAAATATCTCAAAGCATGTTGCTTTGGTTCTTAAATTTGCATCGAACTCAAAAACCCTTATACATGACGCAAAGCTACCTAGAACTGCAGAAAAACTGGACAAAGGTTTCGCTGAAATATGTATATATATTTTTTATGAGTTGTTGCGGAATCTAGATACAGGAGTGACTTACGAATGAGCAGATGAACGGCCTTCGTAACGAACAAACGCAAGAAGACATCTAGAAAACTACATATGCACCACAAGGATACAAATGTTTATATAACACGGTTTATCTCTTACAGTAGTAGGAAAGCTTAATTTTCCGACATTACTTCTGACCTCCCTCAATTCAATAGCATATTTGCCTGACAACCCATCTGTCTAACAAATATAAGAAATGTTTTCATATAAAAGGAACAATTAACAAGATTGCTTTCTTATGACTTTTTAAGGGATTTTATGTCGATATAGGTAAATAAAAACTAGGCTAACTTTATGCTGGCAAGTCTCACTTAAAATCGCTGATCATTGTTGAACTAAGTTTAAACAAGTTTTTAGTACTAGTAAAACATGAGTAGCGAAAACTAGAAAATATAATAACACCTCAATGTTTGCAAATGAATACAAATTTTTGCGAAATGACAAATTGTTTGTGAAAAAGCGCATTGTTTGTGAAGTAATGAAAGTCGGCGAAAGTATGCAAATTTGGCGACAAAAAATCGCAAAATACTTGAGCATTTGCGCAAATTTTGCGAACTTATAGAATGTGGTTTGCGAAATAATACAAAAGTTTGTAAATTAACGCAAAAAATTAAAAAAAGTTTGTTTGTGTGGCGGTAATATTCGTCGGTATTCATATACCTTTGTGCGATGACCAAGATGCATATGTACGAACACAAAGGGTCACCAGAACAAACTCGATTTCGTTTTCAACTTCTAAAACTACATATGCATAAGACAACAATATTGTCCTATCACGGCTGCTTATATTCAATAAAATTCACAAATTTCTTTCTGTACGCTTATACTCAGATGGTAAAGAACACATCAAGTGTACTTTTTGCCTTATCAATTCCATTAATTCTTCAATTATCGGAAAGAAAAGCTTATAATATACCTCGCTATGGTAAACTACGCTCCAAGTATTTTTTTAGTATCGTAAACTGGAATCATGTAGATGATTATCACAACAATGTAAGCAAACATCGTAATGGAACAACACAAGCTGATGAAGAAATTCTAAGTGTTATTTGTTTGTGAACTGATTATGCACATATAGGGGAAGTTTGGTATTCATGTTTAAAAATCTTCAATGTGATTCTAAATACAACATACAAAATGTTTTCCATGAAGCTTTAACCGTATATATATATATATATGTCATTAGATTGATCGATTGATTGGTATTTAACGCCACTTTCAACACTATTGTGCTATTTCGTGGCGGTTAGTTTTTATTGGTGGAGGAAGCCGGAGTACCCGGGCAGAACTACTGACCTACAGTAGGAAAACTGAAAATCCTTGTCAATTGAGATTGAAGTTGAGTGCGCATGCCCCGTGCGGGATTCGAACTCACAACCTCAGCGTTGACAGGCTAGTGATACAGTAGTCCGATTGCTTATACCACTCGGCCACTGATAAGATGACAATAATCTATTTTCAAAAATAAAAAGTTTTCTTTTTTTTCAGGTATGGTGAAGAAAATGAACTGCTATGTTATTTAGTCATGTTGGTATAGGACTCATATTGTCAATTCGTAGAATGACATGCTAAAAATGGCAAGAATGTCCATAGAGAAAAGTGAATCATTAAAGTTTTACAAATATCTTTGCCAAAATATTGGATCTGAGGAGGTCGTGAGAATTAGGAGGTTGGCATTCACTATAAAGGACATTGCACAATGTACTAAAACCATAACTAGTGGAAGTATGGGCGAAGGACTCAATTTAAACGGAAGTGATTTTGATATAATGGTTATTGATCGTAACTTTAAAGTGTTTCAATCAGAAACAGAAGTTCAAAGTCAATGTTTTGCGACTCCGTTAATCATGAATACCGAGGAGACACAGCCATGTTTCACACAATTATTGCTTTTAAGTCATAATATAATGACAGTTCACGATGTGTTTGAAAAAAATCATCGTGGATATATGCTTTCAAGCGAACTATTTAAACTGGTCTATAAGAAATTTGCAGAAGTTCTTATTCCCGGATTGACTACCGGAAACATCCATGCACCATGCATATCAGATCAAGATGGCTTCCTCGATCTTGCATGGTGTTTAAAATGTGACAAATGGATATTTCAAGCAAAGCCATGGATTAACAGACCACGCACAACATGGCCTTCACCTGAAATAATTTCAAAAATAGTATCAAGTGGGGTGTTATTTGTTCCAATTGGCTGCAAAGGATCCATAAATGAACATCTAGAATGGCGAATTTCTTTTTCTGTAGCAGAAAAATTTCTTATATTTTCCTTTACCCATACACAATTTCTATGTTATGCTATGTTAAAAATCTTGCTGAAGGAAATAGTAGAAAAACATGAAGATTTGAAAGGTTTATTATGTTCATATTTCTTAAAAACACTGATGTTTTGGATTTCAGAAGAAACAGAAACTTATTTATGGAGACCAGATAAAATCATACAATGTTTCATGGCATGTCTGCAAAGACTGTTGTATTGTGTTAAATACTCAATATTGTCACATTATTTTATTTCTGACAATAACTTGTTCTATTCAAGGTTCAATACTAACAACGAAGAACAATTGACTACCATACTCACAAATTTATATGAGCAAGGAGTTGATTGTTTTGTATCTTCTATTACCCTACACGATTTTCAATGCCAGTTTTACGAATCCACCGAATCCTTAATAAACAGTAACAGCAGATTATTACAACAAATAATGCCGACATTTTGTGCTATTTTTAATCAATGTAGAACTGATAGTGTTTTGAGACTGATTTATGAATTTCTACATCATTTCAGAACTGCTTTATCTAGAGATTTATTCGCTTTACAATTACCAAAAGCATTTATGTTTGTTACAGGAAAAACATGGAACAAACGTAATTCAGGAAACAAACACCATTACCTTAAGTACAAACAAGACCTTAGTCATTTAGTTATCGGTTTACATTCAGATGCAGTATCAGGATGGTTGAAGTTAGCTTCTTTCTTCTATGTTCACAAAAAATTCTTAGCGTCATTAACTGTTATAACATATGCATTGAAAAAATACACTGACGAAAAAATTTATATTGGGTTTTTCGTTTATTACTCCACATTAAATCGTATCCAAACACATGCGGTGAATCTAATGAAAAAAGAAAAACTTCATAAAATAGTGAAATCATTAACAGTTCATTTCTTGACATTTATTATGGATTCTTCAATAATTCCACAAGAACTACAACTAGATATTACAAGAACGCATAATTCTTTCCATCCGTTACCATTTGCACATTTCCTTAAATTCCTATGCTTCTACCATCTACATGACCTTTCATCATGTAGACAGTCATTGCAACTACTTGAACAGGTTCAAAGGATACTTTCACACAGTGGTACTAAAGTTTTCATTCCAGAAACTCTGAATACAGTAATTTTGTGTGGCATTGCTCGCCAGTTAATGGGTGATACATTCATTGCTAGGCAAGCCTTCAAAGAAGCTGCTGACCATGATGAGTATAATTTCACCAGTGCAGCATCAAGGCTGTCCAATCTCATCTGATTATATCAGACATGTCATTTTACATGTAACTGAGTTATTAGTTTTGACTCAAACAAACTTTTAAGTATGACTTCTTTTATTACTGCACTCGCATTTCACATCAATATCTAAATATATTACATTATTTTATCTCCAAAAATAAACAAAATGCTTTTGTAACGTATTGTTCATAGTTACAAAACCAAATATTTAATTTGATTTTCCTATAACCATTTAAACACCCAGGTAATACAGTTGTTACTGAACCCTCTTTTATAGTATACAATCCTTTGAATGATTATAAAACAGGGTCAAAATAATCCGTAAGTTATAGAACCAATTATTCGAACCCGATCAGAAATAACAACAAGAAAGTAATACATGTTTTTACACAATATAGTTCGTACGCATACATGTAACTGTGTCAATAAGTAACAGATTTGTGTATCAAACGAAACCTAAAGGCCTTTGAGATCACTGTAGAACCATTGTTGAAAGGTTCTTTTGGATTATTAATATGCTTCATTTGATTTCATTAAAAAATGAAAATTATGCTAGCTATAAAAGCAGGTTTAATCCACCATTTTCTACATCAGAAAATGCCTGTACCAAATCAGGAATATGACAGTTGTTATCAATTCGTTTGATGTGTTTGAGCTCTTGATTTTGCCATTTGATTAGCGACTTTCCGTTTTGAATTTTCCTCGGAATTCGGTATTTTTGTTATTTTACTTTTTATGACAGAGGTTTTAAACTTGTCATTTTATCTAGGAATCCTCTTAAATGATAAGATCCTTGACCTTCTTAAACTATCAATATATATCTATCATTTTCTGATATGAATTATGTGTAAATTTGTTTGTCATTAGTAGTGTGTTTTTTTTGTCTATTTCCTTTAAATAATTCTATCTCAAATATAAAAAAAAAATAATCTTCCACATAGTGTACTCACAAAACCAAATGTTTAATTGCATTTTGTTTATAACACTTTAACATCCACGGTATATACAGTGTATAAGTAGGAAATCTTAAACATACTAAATGTAAACATATATGTGATTTCCAATGAATTGTACCTCATAACAAAATGTTAGTATGCATAACATATATTTTGTAATATGAATTTGTATATTAAAATTATTGAACTTTTTTACATGTCAAGAAGTAAAAATAAGCAAATATGTAAACATCTTCTTCGTTAATCAAATTAAGGATTCAAAGTATTCCTTTACATCAGCATGTGTATACTGCTGTGTGAAATACTGCACCAACTAGACAAAATGTTTTCAAAATAATGCAGATCAAGTTGAATTCAAAATTCTAAAATGAGGGCAAACATTGTCAAACATTCAATAGGAATTGACAACGCCACAGAAAACATTTATGACTTATTTATAACTAGAATACGTATACTGATATGAAATTGTGTCTATGAATGAAACAAAGGGTCTAAAGGAGTCCGAATAAGTAATTTGAAAAAAAAGCCCTTCTATATTTACTGAATCAATTTAGATAAAAACAAATATTTCTAAAGCCCTCATCTAAAAGCAGATTGCCGTCCTCAAAGTATAAAAGATACATGAAATGATTTATAGACCTCAAAAGGACTTGTTTATCAATTATTTACCCAAGAAACCTGCAAGTTAATAACAATCATTTAAGGGAAAAAACTCCTAAAAGTTCAAAACAATCATTTAAGGGAAATAACTAAAAAAGAGATGTAGTTTATGTTTTAAAAATGTAAAACAGTCATTAGCATTTTGATCCTTGATCCGAATTTTAATCATGGTAGTTATGTTGGTTAATACATTTTAATTTAATATATAAAGTGGAATATGACGTCACTAAGGAACGTACTATTGTGGCTATGGTTTAAATGGTCGGAGTCGTTTAAGAAGTGATGATATTTGAAACAGAAATGCATATAATATTAAAATACTCATTGGATAAGTCCTAAAACAGTCAATTGATAGTTACATCCAAAAAGTGTTTTTTTTTTTTTATGTATAGATATATATATGATCATATATGTATTGCCAAGTGTTAACAAAGTGTCATATTTGCCTTCCGTAAAATGAGCTAAACTTAAAATGAACAGTTGAAGGAAATGAAGAGTTTAACATGGTTGTAGACATTATATTATAATCAAGATTTGAAAAAAAGAAGACAAATGTCACACTTTGGTCCCAAAGGACATGTAGGAGCCATCCTGCACCCTGAATCCAACACATTTTGTTGTAAGTTATTGATAAAAAAAAACATTGTTTTTAGGCGTGGAATAGCTGTTTTGTTTTGTTAAGCATCATTTGTCTGGAAAATATTAACAAATTTAATTTGGGTCTAGAACGACTTGATAGTGTTGTTTATTTGCACTACTTAACTCCAAAATATATACGAAGTAGTCAATTGACTTCGTTGGTATCGGAACTGTAGAATAACAAAATGTTGGTGGCATTTTCCTAGTTAGTTCACCTTTATTGTATGGTTAAGCTAATTTTTAGTCAAATTGGGGATCATACGGTTTAACCCAGTTAATAAAGTGGTTGGTGGTTATATTGATATTCCACGTTATAATTATATTCAAAATATGCATTAAAATAAATTCAGTTGGTGACAGGGTTTGCTGACAACTTTTGTTGTTTATAGTTTCCATCTGTCTACTTTAATGTTTCCTCAAAAAAGTAATAAAAGAACGCCAATTACGGTTTAAACCATCTGTAAGGAGTTGACTGACAATTTCGTCTATTTGAATTACTTATTTCTTGTCTTGCTGATAAATTTTGCTTATCTTTCTCTTATAGTTTTCGAGACAGTAGAAAAAAAAACAAAAACAAATGGTGTAAATTGTCATTTAAGAAAAATCACCCATAAAAGGAGTAATCTGACATTTTCTAAATCTGGACATTGTGAACATTTTCCCCCTGTCTAATTTTGTCTATTTAGATTAGAATCTATATTATGCTTCTAAAAAGATAGACAATACTTGCTACTTGCATTTTATCTTTTAGTTCTATGTTTAGTCATATTGTCTAGCCGATAATATTTTAGAACAAAATACTCCAAGGATGATTTTGGCCAAGTGTGGTTCGATTTGGCACTGTAATTTACAGTGTAAAACATTATTTTAAAAGTAAACGAAAGACGTTGGCGAAGAGATATCAAAAGTTGTCAAGTATACCGTTTATATTTCAAAAATAAACAGAAAATACCCTGGTGTTAGAAAAAATCTGACCTTTAAAAAAAAAAATATTTGTGTAGAGTGTACACTTTGTTCTAATATCTAATACATCTTAAACGGAAGATTTTCAATAATTATGGGATAGCAGGGTGAATTACAGTAAAAATATCCATATCAAGAAACAAGAACAGAGTCACGAGATGATAAAATAAACAGAGATTTACATAAGGAAATCTTTTTTCTCCAGAATTTTTTTTCTCTTTTTTACATTTGTAATATAAATGTTTCATTGTTTAAATTGTTCCGTATGACGGAAAATCCACAACAAGTTTATAAAGTGTCATTTTCATCTCACGGTTCAAAAATCACTATATAAATCAGTTACTTTGTTTAAAATATGTAATCAAGGGTACATATCTTACAGAAAGAAGGTCGCAAATTCAATGAAAATGGAAGCCAAGTACCAATATTAGACAATACAAATATATATAACTAACTACAATGTAAAAGAAACACTAAAAGGTAAGAAGTTTTTGGTGTAGTTGCTTTTAAATTTTACACATTTTTGAAACAATTTTTTTCATTTTTGTCCTTACATATTCCATGCTACTTCGGGAGACAACAAACTATATAAGGCTCTGTGTTGCCTGTGCTCACCTTGATCTATGTCAAGAATGGTCACTTTCAAACCGAATCAATCAGGTCAATATCACACAAGAGGCACATTTTGAGAAGATGTTATTCTTTTGAAGATACCACCTTTCAAATAATAGAAGATTCCAAAATTGAAACACACAAGGTTGAAACTCAGAAAGAGATCGATGATGCACCAGCGGAGTACTCTTCAACCTGATATACTCAACGAGAAAGGTGAAAACATGTTTTTATCATGAATCAGGGGAATAAATCTGGAAAGACATACGATTTTACACAGCACAATTGAACTTTAACAAAAGCTTCATTTTTTTTATTTCAGTATTTGATTATAACCTTATGGTTGATGTTGCGCAATTTTGTTTGAATCTATATAAAATGTTACATGTATAACAAGTGTTTGTATGATACCCAAAAGCGTGTTGAAGCTACATTCGAAGGCATTTATATAGTTTTAATTTATAGTACCTATTTTTTTTCTAAATAATATTAACCTGATAGAATGAATGTTGATTTTTGAATTAATATTTAATCTTGCAACATTCATGAATGTGATAGCATTTATTTGTACAGAGACTCCGCTGATCATTTTGTTCATCTATTATCAGGTTTCCATTGTATTAGATTAAAAACACCAATCCTAACCCGTAAATTAAACCAATACAAACAGTAACTGGGGAATAGAAATATGATCACTCTTTGTCTTTGACCTTACGTCCATTTAGTTGTGTGGGATGTACAAGTACGCAACCACGTCCGGTCAGAATGGGGACGTTAAATCCTATGCCAACTCTTTGAGTGGTCCGTAGTTGGCCTGTTGCACGGCAAAATGTTTGTCCTAATCCAATATACCCTCATTTTCAAGTGGCAGTCTAAATTTCCATAACCTTCATCGCGTGCGGTCTATGTTACAGGACGTACCTTTTGTATGTATTGTTTATTTGTTCTCGTCCTGAACATGCCTTAACTATTTACCACTGGACGTTATCAACCAACAACCACTCATTAAGATAAACAATATCAACGGTCAAGGGTATATGAAATTAAACCCTTAAGGTTTAGATTGCTTTCATATGGCTATTAGTAGATATCTTCACCAAAAGTCAAAGCCTTACTCGATACCACTGTTTGTGCATATACTGAGTTAGCTGCTTATTTGTGAATGTACATAATGAGGAACACTTTAACATGTATGCTTGTTCTGCAAAACAACTTTAAGCAGTTAATATACGTTTTATACTATATCTCCTTTCGTATGCTTTCCCTTGAGGTAGGTGCTGATACTCTATGTTTTGATGTGGGTTCTTTCCCTCTCGATGTGCTAGATTTGGCCTCTAGTGGGATTTCTGGTTCATGCATGTTCTCAACTGTAAATCAATACATATCATTACTTTTTTTATAATTTATCAAACAACACTAAACTTCAAAATAGAAACATGCATATTAACAGCATTAGTTTAAATACCATTCACAGAAGGCTTTAACGCATTGATATTTTTTGTTGTTGTACCGTAGCCACCGTATTTTCAAAAGCCACATATTCTGTTAAGTCACATCCAGTTATAAAAAATATAAATAGTGGGAGAAATGAAATATATATAAATTATAAGCTTTTTATCAAAACTCCATTGTAGTAATCGTTTTGTTTTTGTCTTAAGAATGGATTTGAAGTCGCAATGTAAAAAATACAGGTTGTAAGCAAAAGTAAAAGTCACTCATTCAGCACTGAAACCTCTTACATGACCTTTGTATTCCCAGATGTATTGATCCATTGTTCTTAATTTATCTACCAATGTAATTGTTGTCACTGCTTAGGGATTTTTCACCTTCTTAAAAAAAAACCAATTTCGATATTCAAATCTTTGAATCAATTATATTTTGCAAACGTAGTTTCTACAATTTTGTTTTCAAAATTCAGGATAAAATTGAAAAAGGGTATTTTAGTACGGTTTTCTCCAGCGATAGAGCTGAACTTGATTAATGGTGTTTAAACGCCCCTTTTCAGCGCCACTTTTGGGCTATTTCGTGGCGGTCATTTTTATTGGTGGAGGGAGCCGGAGTGCTCGGAGAAAACAACCGACCTTCGATAGGAAAACTGACAATCCTAGTCAATTAAGATTGGAGTCGAGTGCACCCGCACGGGGTACGAACTCACAACCTCAGAGTTGACTTGCTAGTGATTACAGTAGTTCTACTTAGACCACCGAGGCCCCGGGCTGAACTTGTTAGATATGCGCATATACGATTTCATGGGGTAACCAGAATGAGAGAAAATTCGTTTACAGCCTCTTAAATACATATGCATTGGACAACAATATGGTACTATCACGCAAGGTTCAGAAGGCTGTTAATACTATTTCGCTATTTACACCTGTCAATTGTGCTATAGATGGTTAAACACATTCGTTGTACTTTTTCCTAATAAAGTGATTTTTTTCAATAATCGGAAAGAAAAGCTCATAATCTACTTTGCTATGATAAACTGCCTTCCAAGTAAGATCGTCATGTTTATTACCGTAAACTGGAATCATGTGAACGGTTCATGAATCAATGAAATTTAAGGGCAAACATTGGAACAACAAAATCTGATGAAAAAAAATCGATGTTGTTAGTAGACGTCATTTATTTTATTGTTTATATCTTTTTAAAATTCACCTCTACTCGAGGAATCACTCAATATAAAGGAAAAACTGGTTTCCACGAAGCTATGATTGGATATATTGGACATGAGATGACAATCCTCTTTTTTTCCAGACATGGTAAGTCCGTCCGTCCTGTCTGTAAAGCCTTTTTCAGCTGCTATTTATAGTTTGTTCTTATGACACTCACAAATATGTTTAACCCCGCCACATTCTTTATGTGCCTGTAGTTCAGTGGTTGCCGTTGGTTCACGTCTGTCATATTTGTTTTTCGTAAATCGTGTTGTTAAAAAAGAGCCGTTAGTTTTCTCAATTGCAATGTTTCATATTTTTCATGTTGGGGCCTTTTATAGCCGACTATACGGTATGGGTTTTTCTCATTGTTGAAGGCCGCACGGATTCCTATAATTGCTTATATCCACTTTATTTGAATTTTTGTGGATAATTGTCTCATTGACAATCATACCACATCTCCATATTGTTATAAGATAGAGAATTGCTAGGAAATTAAATACAAGACTGATATTTCTGTTTGCAGAATGACATGCTGAAAATGGCGGGAATGTCCATAGAGAAAAGCGAATCATTAAATTTTTACAAATATCTTTGCCAACAAATTGGATCTGAGAAGGTCGTGAGAACTAGGAGGTTGGCTTTCAATATAAGGGACTTAGGACACAACATGATAACCAGTGGAAGTAAAGGTGAAGGACTCAATTTAAACGGCAGTGATTTAGATGTAATGATAATTGACTCTTTTTTTAAAGTGTATCGATCAGAAACCGAAGTTCAAAGTCAATTGTATCCAATTCCGTTAATTATGAATACCGAGGAGACTCAGCCATGTTTCACACAATTGTGGATGTTAAATCAAAATATAATCATAACTCCGAATTTGATGCATCGAGGATATATGCTTTCAAGTGAACTGTATAAACGGCTCTTTTTGAGTGTGGCAGACATGCATATTCCCGCACCGTGGTCAGGAAAAATTCATGGACCATGTATATCAGATGCAGATGATCTAATTGATTTTGCTTCGTGTCTTAAATGTGACAAATGGATATTTCAAGCAAAGCCATGGGTAAGCAGACCACGTACAACATGGCCCCCATTTGACATCATTTCAAAAATAGTATCTAGTGGGGTGTTATTGGTTCCAATTGGCCACAAAGGATCCATAAATGAAAATGTAGAATGGCGAATTTCTTTTTCTGTTGCAGAAAAATATCTGATATTTTCCTTCAGCCATACACAATTATTATGTTATGCTATGTTAAAAATCTTGCTGAGGGACATAATAGAAAAACATGAAGATTTGAAAGGTTTATTGTGTTCATATTTCTTAAAAACAGTAATGTTTTGGATTTCAGAAGAAACAGACCCATACGTGTGGAGACCTGATAATATGATACTATGTTTCATGGCATGTCTCCAAAGACTACTGTACTGTGTAAGATATTCAATATTGTCACATTATTTTATTCCTGACAATAATTTGTTCTTTTTAAGATTCAAAGGTACTAACAAAGATAAATTGATCTCCCTTCTTACGAATTTATGTGAGCAAGGAATAAATTGCTTTGCATCTTCTGAGACCCTACACGATTATCAAAGCCGGTCTTCCAAAATCACCGATTCTGTGATAAGCAAAAGCGTGGGATGCTTACGACAAATAATACCTACATTTTATGCGTATTATTTTTATAGTGGAAGCGATAGAAATTTGAGAATGCTGTATTATTTTCTACATCATTCAAGAACTGCTTTATCTAGAGTTTTATTCGCTTTACAAATATCAGAAGCATCTATGCATATTCCAGAACAAACACAATACCCAACTTGCTTGGAAAACAAAAATCATTACTTCAGGTACAAACATGATCTTAGTCATTTGATGATCGGATTACATTTTGATGCAGTGTCAGGATTGTTGAAGTTAGCGTCTTTCTTCTATGTTCAGAAAAATTTCATAGCCTCATTAACTGTAATAAAATATACGTTGCACAAGTACACAGACGAGAAAATATACATGTATGCAAATTCATGTAATCACGCTGTTAGATGTAATCATATGCAAAAACATGTGGCAAATCTGATGAAAAACGAGAAACTTAATACAACAATGAAATCTTTAATATTTCAACCAATTGGATCGGTATGGAATTTATCTCTAGTTCCACAAGAACTACTATTAGATGTTACAAACAGGCGTGCTAGTTTTCATCCGGTATCATTTTCACATTTCTTAAGCTTCCTATGTTACTACCATCTGCATGACATTACATCGTGTATACAGTCTTTACAACGGCTAAAACATGTTCAAAGGACACTCGGTGACTGTGAATTCGATGTAAGGTGTAATGATTTCGTGAACACAGTTATTTTTTGTGGCATAGGTCACCAGTTATTGGGTGAGGAATACTCTGCTAGACATGCGTTCAAAGTAGCTGCTCGTCTTGATAGGAATAATGTAACAAGTGCAGCATCAAGGCTGTCTCGTCTTATCTAATTTTATCAGACATTTCATTTTATATGTAAATAAGTACACTTTTGACATTTAAAGAAATATCCAAACAAAGTACATCATGAACACACTTTTTTCCCTGTTCTTACAAATATAAAGGATACACTAAACTTTGAACATGATAAGCGTACGTACATAAAAGGAATTAAGAATTAATCCTATAAATCAGAGTCAAATTAAAGCAGTTTTTCTATATTTGATCGGGAGACTATCTTTTTAGATATTGACTTATATCAATAAATGATTTGTTACTAGTATATAAATGTAATTAGTTTATTTTAGTTATTTGATTATCTTTATTGGATTGTTTGTCATAAACCATATTGTAATGTATTATGACAATAGATGAGGAATTGACCTGAACTAAACTGAATTAAAATTCTTTTAACTTTGCAATTTGTTGTTATAAAGAGAGTTGATTTTGTCATTTACGGAGTCACAATTTGTAAAAATATATTTCTACATTTGGCTTTGTAAAACTGCATATCATTTTGTATAAACTAGTGACTGAAAAACAGATTGATTAGTAATGCTTGTAATATTCGATATTCTTCAGGTGTAGAAAAATGACTGGAAACAAGTTTATGTGAAATGAATTTCGGTTGCGTAAATATATAATGTAAAAAAACAATATGTATTTGTCACAAATTTGCTGAAAGTGTTAAATCGTATTCAACTGGTTATAAGATCTACACATAACTTGATAGTTCTTAATATCTTTGATATGTTAGCATTATAAGATTGAGTACACATTTTTCATGACTAAAATACAAATAACTGTCTGTCTAAAAAAACAACATCAACCCACCTAAACCTAGGAGGATCTCATGTGCCCCAGAAGGGTTAGCAGATCTTGTAACACATGTGACAACCGGCGTGTTTCTCTGAAAAGTTGTCCTCTAGAATGGCAATCACATATCAAAGACCTTCAATTTTGTAATACTTTTATACATTACACCGTTTTAGGTAATTGAAAATAAACAATTGTTTATATGTATGGAAATAACCACGCGGAATAACCAGATGTATTTATACAGTAATGCAAATTTCAATATTGTGAAGTATTTTTATTCTTTGGATGCCAATTTGTGTTGATTTTGTGGATGGCTTAACCACGAATTAAAGTGTCAAAAGAAATATAAGAACTGTTGTCCAAATATACGAACATTAATATCATATTGGGATTGCTTATTTTTTTAAAAGAATTTACTTTTCTAGCATTTTTTATTAACTGTTGTCTTTAAGTGACAGGTTTACGGCATAATTATATAATTTGATATCGTTAATGTTTTTGTTTTGTTGGGTTAATTAGTATCATCTCTTCTGATTACATATGTTGCAATTTTCTTCAATCGAGACATTTTGTAAGCAAAGATGAATCAGTTTATTTCCGAAAGCAACTATTTTATTATAATTTGATGATAGTGCCAACAGACAAACAAAAGTAAGTGAAAAAGAACACCTCATTTTGCAATGTCCAACAAATCATTATAAAACACCATCTGATTATTTTAAAAGATCTTCGTTTCTAATGGCTTCAAATTCTTCATTCCATATTTTACAGAATCCACTTTTTTTTTACTACAATCCACGAATTTAGGAACCCACAACCATGCAACTTTTGCTCGAACAACGCAAATTGATGTCCACGATGACAGTTCTTTTATGGTATACAAAAAAAAAGATGTGTTAGGCTTGCCAATGAGACAACTTAACAGTAAAGACAAAACGATGTGGGTGTAATCAACGAGAACATGTCACCATACGGCATTTAACAGTGAGCAAAAACCATACCATAAATAAACCATAAAAGCACCTTTGATGGTATAAAAAGAAACAACAGAAAACATACGGTCTGGTTTAACCAAATAACATAAAATGAGAAAATAATTGTTGCAACCAAGGAAAACAACTGGACCTCAAGCTACCAGATTCGGACAAACACATCAAATATGTGGCGGGGTTAAACATGTTTGTTAGCGCTCAATACTCACTTTTAGCACACAAGTTTTACTGTAAACTCAATTCTTTATTCCGTCGTAAAAAAAATCATGTACATCATTATCAAAACTGGTTTTGTTTATTATGACATGTAAAAACATCAAATCGGTTTGCTATTGTGTATATCTAAATCGTGTGATTCACCGATAATGTCACCATTTGTGATGTTATTATTATTAATAACGCTGAGAAATGATGTAGAAGTAAATATATTCTAAATTGTTGACTTAAACATCGTGATTCCTAATCACCTGATATGAATTTTCGACGTATTTTATAGGAGATACACGACGAGCGACTCATGTAGGACAGGAACGTTTTTCCTTGCTGAGCACTATAGTTGTTCATACTTGGTTTTTTGGAGGGGTCCGTATTGCCCAATCTTCAATTTCTGTGTAGAGTGTTGTGGACATGTTGGGTTTTTTTTTCGTTTTTCTTTCTTTTTTTTTTTGCCATAGTTTTGTCAGTTTTTCTTCCACTTATCAGTTTTGAATGTAAATTTGTTATCTTATATTTTTTTCAGGATTAGAACTTTAATTTTATTTTAATAATTTTTGAATTTGAAACACAATGAACAATAATAAATGACCACCTCCCAACCGAAACGTTTAAGGGTTGCTGTCATTGTAAAATTTATCCTACATCCCGGTATACCTCGTTACCCATAAAATAAATTTAGATGGTTTCATTGTCAATATATTATTCCAAACTTGCATTTAAGAAAAAGATGTCAGCTATATTTAGATTTACTTTCGACTGGGATGTATGCCAATAGATATCACATTTCATGGCAGTGCTCCTAATTCGGTGATAATCGATTTCTTCGGATAGACAGATATAAAAATCTAAACTCTGTAGCAGGACAGTTTTTTGCTTAGCTTTGTTTATTTTTTAAAAATAGTTTCATCATTTTTCTATTCATGATCAAAATTATGACTTCCATTATATCTAGGAGGCTGATAACCGAGTAACAATTCTCTATAATTTTTTTCTTAAGCATTTGACTTGGCCGACTTGAATTGCACACGACAGAATGCATTTCATGGGTAGATTTATTGACACATTGTAAACACTGCTTTATTCTGAATAGTGTAGAGTTTTACACAAGCAGAACAATCGGTTGAAACCGTAGGAGGATTTTCAGTTTATGCATTGTTATGCTTGAGTGGAGTCGTGTCGTCGCTTCGCAAAGTATATACATTTCTAAAATCGCATTTTTCTAATTCAACTGATCAAATATTGCGAATCGGGGAATGCTATGCTGTTGTGAATGCTTTCATGAAGAGAAACATATATATATATCGTTAACTGTTGTGCATGGAGTTAAACTCCTGCAAAATCAATTGCCCCACGAGAAATTGCTGAGAAAAGTGACAGTAAACTATTGAGATGTTTCTATTAACAGACCTGCGAGTTCAAATTTCGTTTTTTTTTCTGTCCACGGGACTGAATGTCGTTTTGGGCGGATTACACGCTCTCAGAAGTTGATAGAAGTCTTAATAAATCTAAAAACTGTCAGTGTGCATTTCTTCATGGGTGAGGAGATCGGTTCTGAATTAGGACATCATGAATGCTTAAGGGGAAGTGCAAACCTATCTTATCGAAAGCTGCTGAATATCACAATCTAGTATTGATTATATATAATAATAACTTAACCCAAACTTTGGTTAATCATTTAATAATGCTGAATAAATGCGGTCTAAATTTCATTAACAAAAAATGCAACAATCACTTCATAGAAAGGCAAGTAAGTTGCATAGTTTTAGTGAAGTTCAAACTAAACATAAATTGACAATGGAAATGGCTACATTGTAAATATAAGTGGTTTATATTTATATTTGACTGTCACTATGTTTTTTCCAGCACGCATGCACGCGGGAAAAACATAGTCAATCACTGGTAATTTTCGTGATTTTATACAATAAATATGTATAACCACTAGAAAAATGTCAGAGATTATATATAATTACTGGAATGAAGATGCAATGAATAAAATCATATTTAAACATCTGAAGAAACATCAATATTCAAATCGTAAGCACATTATTCCTCAAATATTGAATCTGATTTTACTGCACTTAGAAAAGTATACTGTTCATTAGAAACATCTGAAGGTACTTAAAAAGTCAATCAGTTACCTTGTTTCTTAGCATGCTTTCATGTTCCATAGTCAATCATTATCCTTTTCAGTCCTTTTATGAACAATGACCATAATATGTTTGGGGTCTGCCTTCCTACGATCAACATTCAGTATCGATATCATAGCATCCTCCTCCACATGTGTGCTGATTGTGATTTTGGGCGCTTTGTTGCATTACTTTCCTCAATTTGAATTTCATGTTTGTTAACTCTCATCCCCTTTGTTTTACAGCAAATCACATTATCTGTGCAGTTATGTTGGTACAATTAATTTCAATTTAATGTTTATGACACTGCAATTATTTTAGGTACTATAGTTGACGTCATGTAGAATTGGCACCATGTTTTTTGTCGAAAATTTTCAAATTACCAGCCGCGTTCACTCGAGATGACTTTTTTTCAATAAGCGGAATCAAAAATCTTTCCACAAAACCACTACTGTCCTACCTTTTATTGTGTTTGCACTGCATAATCCTGACCTTCACATTATCCAAGCTTATTTTCAATGGTGGAATCCGACATTGTTATTACCTGAAGTGTTGCCGTGGAGTTTCACGTTCAGTCTATTTTCTCGGGCCACTCGGATCTTTTCATCATTTTTATTGTTTACACGCAAAACGCGGAAGAAACAGTATCACATCATTGACACGGATATTACCCGAGAGTAACGAATTTTATATGAATAAAGGATCTTCATAGAAACCATGATGGCGGATTTACAATGGAAAATAATCTTGGATAATGTAAAGGTCAGGATTATACAGAGCAACCACAATTGTTTTTGTGAAGATTTTTGATTCCGCTAATTGATAACGTCATCTCAGATGAATGCGGTTGTTAGTTTA